GCTTGAAGTATTCCCTTCCCACCCCAGGCCAAGTGACAGAACCAGAAATCAGCATTTGTAGTCAAGAAAAGAAAAGAAAACAAAAGAAAACAAAAGAAAAAAGGAAGGAAGAGGGCACAGGAAAGAACCCAAAGGTGAGGGGTAGAGTCTTGCAGCCAAACTCCCCATGCCCGCTCCAGTGCTACGACTGGCCAATGTTCTTCCTACTGGCTAATGATTTGCAGAAGAGGGAGCATAGCAAAGTCAGAGCAATCAAGCAAAATCAGTCCAGCATTATTCATCAGTGAGTCACAACCAAAGCAACAGAGGCAGGATAGGGAGCAGCTGAAGAGAGCAGCTAACTTCGTGCTGGTTTGCTTTTCTGCTGACTCAAGGATGGGTAAATCACTCTTAAACTCAGCAATGGGAAAACCTGTTAGCATCAATACACACACAAACAACAAACTTAAGCATCTTGAATTCTATCACAAATACTGAAATGTTGGTTCTGGTGACAAGCTTTAACTTTTCAACAAAATTGCTTTTATTGGATGTGCAAGGAGAATTCTTATTCTGAAGTTAGATATGTCCAAGGCTCAGATTCAAGGATGTCCATGGTGTCTGTGTGTGTGTGTCAAGAAAGTCAAGATGGCGGCCATGACCGTGCAAAGACCCTCATGCATTACAGAATGAGGCAGGTTTTCATTCCCACAGTCAGGGCTGCCTTCTTGATTTTTATTTTTATTATTATTTTCTTTTTTTACTCCTCCTGCTCAAATTCTGTCTGACTGACAAGATACCGGAGAACTCTTTGTGTTAACCATCCCTCTCCTGTGAAATTTAATTCAACAAAAGCAGGGATGAGAGACCCGCATCCTCCCAGATGCCTCTGGGTTACAAATGTGCAGGGAGCCATGGAGATGACCTTGGGGAAGCCACCCAGAAGCTATTAGGGCAACAACCGGTGCTGAAACATGTGTTAAACCCAGGGATGTAAGAAAATATTAGCAAAAAGCCTCAGACTGGCTCCCCTTTGACTCTCTGGAGTGTAAGAGGGAGGGAAAGGAAAAGGCAGGCAGACAGACTTGCAAGATCCTGTTACTATAGATCAGAGTTTCTCAACCTTGACAATTTTAAGATGTGTGGACTTCAACTCCTAGCATTCCGCATCCAGAAATGGCTGGCTGGGGAATTCTGGGAGTTGAAGTCTACTCATCTTAAAGTTGCTAACATTGAGAAACACTGCTATAGATTATCTTAATAAAGTATGTAGCTCATGTCTTTCTCGGTAGACACTTTTCTGATCTGGTCTACCTCATAGGGCTGACAAATTGACAGCATCCATTATGGCAGGATGAGTTGGATGGGATTGCTGGGAACTGCAGCACAGCAATACCTAGAGGATGGCGGTTCCCTCATTCCCAGATTAAAGGCATATCCTTTTTTTTTTACTTGGCTTTAGGTTCCAACACTTTTAATATTATATAACAATCAGAGTACAGGTAGTCTACTCATTCAGCAACCATTCAGGGTTATGACAGTGCAGAACAAAGGGGACTTACAGCCGGTCCTTGGAGTTCCAGCTGTCACAGCGTCCCCACGGTCACATGATCGTGATCTGGGTGCTTGGCACCCAGCTCACAATTACGATGGCGCCGCAAGCCATGGCCACGTGATTGCACTTTCCAGCGTTCCCTGCTGGCTTCCCACAAGCAAAGTCAGTGGGGGAGCTGGGAAGAAGTTGGAAGTCGCTCCACTCCCACTGCTCTTTCCCCTGCCTGCACTCCATAGCACCTGCTCACGGCAACCCCCACCTCCTGCAGCACCCGCACACTCACCTGCGGCCTCTTCCCACTTAATGACCGCACAGTCCTCAGATTACGACAGCAACTGGGACAGCTGGGATTGCCATTGCTAAGCAATGTGGTCACATGATGTCGCACTTTACGACTGCATCGCTTAGTGATGGAAATTCTGGTCCCAGTTGCTGCTGTAGTCCCAGGACTACCTGGATAAATGAATAGATTGAAGCAGCAGCATTCATGAGAGGGGACAAAAAATGTGACGTGGCTACAGCAGTGTGAATGACCCCCCTCCTTTATGTGCATCAACATCGCACACACGTACAAAGGGTGGGGTTTCAATCATGCTGCCATGACTGCCATCTGACCTTTTTTTTTTTTTTTGACCCTCCCTCCGAGGACACCACTGGGTTGAAATATATATACATTGCACTCCAAACACACATGCAGAGATACACAACTCCAGACTGAAAAATATCCTTGCAAGCAATATTTTTTAAAAAAAAAATCTGGCAAAAAGAAGGGATGGCTGGAGTTGGAATGGGAAGAAGCTCAGGGAAGTTCTAATATCCAATTACATTAGTTGCCTCACTTATTTTCTGAATTGGCAGGACTGACCAAATGAGGGTGTAAACATTTTTCACACCCTGATGCTAATTTAATAACGTCCATCACCACCACCACCTCTCCCAATAGGAAAAAGCATTTGCGTTCAGCTCATTTAGTGTGGAAACCGCTGCCATCGTTTCTTAAAATGAAGCCTGGAAAGTGTAAAAATGACAGCAAAGAAAATGTCAAAAGCAAGGGGAGATCGGCACAAGTTTCCTTTGAGTGGGATCCATACCAAGAAGACCGACAGGGAGAAGATTCACTATTCATTTTTATATCTGTATTAAACTAATAGCCTAAATATGGAAATCGTCCAGCTAAGATGTAAACAGCAAAGTGATTTTTTCTTTTTGAACTGCAAAACAAAATAATCAACCTCACCCCCTCCTCAGACCAGAGACTGATGGTAGCACGTGGAGACCTTTATGTCTGATAGCTTCTGCCTTGCATAAGAACACTTTAATTGCTATTGCTCGTCATTGTTTGAGCTTACTACCTCTTTTTATGAATTCTGCATCTTTACTGATGAAATCAACCTGGATAATTGCTTCTGAATTGGACATGAAAGCCTCTGTATAATTGGGAATCTTTTGACTGACAGATGTGAAACATCACATTTCCTTTTAAAGATGGGATTAACTTGCTAATAAGAGACAGCTCTAATGATAGGGACTGTTTATTTTGAATGTTGATAGATTTTCTTCCAAGATGCTGAGGAATCCGACCCAGCCCTTAATGGCTGAGTTGCCTTAAGTGAAAGAAACCTGGTGGGAAACATGTAAAAGGAAAAAAAAAAACCCTGTTTCCTTTGTGGCTTACATTGAACCATTCTTCTCACCCACATTTTTCATATATTTGTGATGGAGTCATTCTAATATGATACGTTTCAAATCAGACTTTTAAAGCTGGTGTGCCACAGTCCATTGTGCTCTGAGCACATCATAACACATCAGCTGTTATATTACTTATGTTCTGGGATGTGATCGTCTTCTACGCTGATATCTGTGTAGCAATCAGCAGACCATGGCTGCTATCCTACCTGTGCAGTCCTTTCAGGCACTTTGGCCTGGCCCAAGGGGCATCTGCAGGGAGAGGTAAACAAAATCAAGACTGTGGCTATGCACAACCCCCCCTCCAGTGATTGAAGCCCCACCTCTGTTTTACATATGTTGTGCATAAAGGGGGCTGGGCTTCAATCATGTGGTCACAACCACCATTTGACATTTTTGACTTACCCTGAAGATGTCCTTGACTTGTCCAGAAAGGCCTCGATATTATATTGAAA